AGTTCTGACATCTAAAACCTTAGCTTCCAAGTGGCTGGTGCACCAGACTTGATCTATTTTTGAGGCACTTGATTGTATTGTATATGTAAATTTTTTTTCTTTTTTGAGTTCTTTGACAATATCAATCCAGTTATGTATATAGTTGTAGATTCTTCTTTTAAAACTTGTGATAAAGGTGTTAATTGCTGAAGCGTTTAGTGGATATGAATTGAAATCTCTAACTATGATTTGATGTATTGGTTTTTTAAATTTTTTAATGTGTTTTATTAAGGAATTTGTTGCCATTTTTCTTTCCTCGGGATTATGAGGTAGGTATATAGATGTTATGATTAGATCAATTTTTGGCTTAAATTTGAGATGTACTGTACACCAGTACTCATTTTCCGGAAATGTTTCAAATATATGATCACTTAAATCTTTTTCAATTATTAAGCAGATATCATTTTTTGACGATTGCAAGGGAGTGCAGGAGATTATGATTTGATTACTAAGTTTTTTTAGGAGGTAGTCTCTTGATATTTTTGTTTCGAAACAGCATAGGATTGATCTTTTATTTTTGAGGTTGTGTATTAAAGCTATGAGTTTGGATCTATCATTTAGTCTATACACATTTAGTGTTGAGATGTTGAGCAAGTTTTGATTAAAGAGGTAGTAGGTTTAGGGGACATTGTGATAAGTTTGTTTAATGAGTGTATAAAGTTAGGTGATTTAGATATATTAACAGATAAAGGAAGTAAGATCGAAACTGGGCTTTGGTAGATCTTCAGTTAGGATATAATCATTAGAGAGTCTGTCAAAGTTATAGTTCTTATAAAGTTGTGCTATAAATATAAGTAATTCATTATTATCTCTAAGTGAAAAGTGAACATTGATCTGATTTTCTTCATTGTACTTGTTAAGCTCTTCTATAGTTGGTAGAGAAGCTTTTGGAGTCTTGAACCATTTTTTGAACAAGGTATAGAACTTTTATCTTGTACTCAGCTTTCTTAGTTTAGGCAAGAAATGGTCATCCCTATAATCCATGTGCATTCCAATTTCAAGGAATATATTGACATTACTAATTTTAAGTAGCAATTTTTCTTTGTCTGTTTGTGAAATAGATGGGTTGACCCAGAGAGAATCCAGTAAAAGATTGAATTTAAAGTTTTTTTTGAGATGGTTAATAAGTGCAGTAATGTCTTCTTTTGTATTTGTTGGGATTGCTATATCAATTTCATCCAAGAAACATTAGAGAGGCAGAGGAGAAATCTTTTGAACTTATAAAAATCTAATAGTAAAGTCTTTAGACTATACTAACCTTCTCAAAATATTGATCAACTCCTGTGTATCCATAATCGCTGGATCATGAGAGAAATATATGGCTAGGTGCACTGGTAGGAGCTTATATAATGGTAATAGAAGCTTTTTCGGGAGAGGAAGATCAAAGTAAGATTTAGGCAACTTTGAGGGAATCTTATATGATGGTAGTAGAAACTTCTTTGGAAGAGAAAGATCAAAGTAAGATTTAGGCAGCTTTGAGGAAATCTTATAGAACTTGCTGAGTTTTCAGATCCTTTCTGATAGGAAATTTATATTCTTTCTAATTGTAATGGGAAACAGACAGACTGTCTTATTGTTTAGATTAGAAGGGTTTTCTGAGAGAGGAAGAGATTTGAAAAAATATAAATTGGGGAGGAAAGTAAACTTTGTAATATGTGTGTAATATTGAAAGGATAGCCGGTAGATATTTTTTTCCTCTGATTGACAATGGACAAAAAAGTTTAAATATTATTTTTGTTGAGATTTGACTATAGGTTTCAGGGAGAGATAGAAGGGATTCGTAAAGCAGCTGCTTGCAGAGCTCTAACAATTCTATATAATTGACAGTTTTATTATTGTTTTTGAAAAAATAGTTGCATCTGAATTCTAACAATTGAGCAATTTCATAGAACTTAAGCTTGGTTAAGTCTGTAAATCTTAGATAGACAACAAAGAGATATGAGTTTAGAATCTAGCGAACTTTCTACTTGATAGTATAATTAATGTAGCTGATATCGTGATGTCTTTTGTAGTTTTCGTAAAACTTGTTTTCAAGATATTCATATTTTTTTTGATGGTTTCCCTTCAGATTTTTATTTTTAATGAAAGACCTGAAGAAGATTCTGTCTTTTAATAATATTTTTGTGAAGATTGTGAAGTGTAGTTCTTATGCAACTGATTCTTTTGGCTTGTTTTTAATGTTTTTAAAAACTTTAATTACTTCTTGAGCTTCCGAGCAATGTTGACTTAATTGAGAGGCTAGCTTAATAATAATGTTATGCTTGCTAACAAAGGATTCAGATGTGTTTATTGATGGCCTTAATACTTTACCATTTATAGAGTATTGTGAATTTGGATTACTATCCATTAACAGATTAATAACTCTTTGTACTTTTGGATTTTCAGGTCTTATGGCTAGTGAGCTTAATGTGCTGTTTGAGGTTGTAGAGAGGTTCAGAGAGTTGATGAGATCACCTATCAATCTTGGTTTATTTTTAGTTAAAGATGAGCTATTGATATCTTGTATGTATTTATCTAATAGTATTTCATTTGAGCACGTACTAGATGGTGATATAAGAGAAACAGAAGTTATTTCCAAAGATGTATTTTGAAGAGTATCCAATTCGATTTGTACTTGTTTTTCAAATTCAATTATTGAATCAGTATTTCCTAACAAAATTTCCTGGTCTAATGAATTCATTGAAATGTCTGTATCTAATACGGGACTGGTTAGTTTAATGATACTACCAGATTTGTTCTGACTGGCTTCAGGGGTAACTACAAATTGGTGATTGTCAACTTGCATCATATCACCTGTAACTTGTTAATCGCATGTAAAATTTGTGTTCAGGGTTTGCATAATTGAACATTATTTGAATTTGATGAAACTATGTTACATTATTGATCAATTGATGGAAATAAGCTGCTTGAGATTTTTTTTGGAATTTGGGATGTCAATTTTTTTTCTGCTGGATTAGCAAGAAGATTTTGATCTGCACTCTTTGGTTTGTCCTCCTGGACTAGTATGTTAAATGGTTAATATGTTGATGCATTTTGTATTTTTTTAAGTATAAATTTGTTTCTATTGTTTATAATATTAACTTGGTTTCAAAAAAGGTAGAATATATAGTTAAGGTTATTGTTTAATACTTTCTTTACGATGGTCTCTTTTATACTGAAATCAAGATTATTTTTCTCCTGAAAAGAAAAGAAGTTATTGAGATTGTTTTGAGTATTGCTTTTTATATTGTTAATAAGAATCCTAACAATTCTGTATTCGATTTTATTCAATTCCAACTTTTATAGTAAATTTAATAGGTGAGTTATAACCCACTTATGTTTTTTATATGTATGCAAATCTATGCGAGTCTATGCAATTCCAATTTTTGGGACCATAATTGTTGATAGATAGTGATACTGTTATATAGGGATGCGAGAAAAAGCTGGGTTGGCTACTTGTTTGAAACCAATAAAGGTAATGTCCACTTGTGAAGGTTTATTATTGGTGTTTAAACTTTGTAAAGAAACAATTCAAAATTTTGGAGTATTAGTTAGAGAGGAAATAGATACATGTTTTGTTGATTCAATAATTAGAATATTGCTTGAGTTAGTTTTTTTGTAAACTATAGAGAAGAGGTGATTCTTTGGATTTGAAACTACAATGTCCAAGAGGATATGGGAAGTGTTTGGAGATTTGTTCTTAAAAGTTAGGCTTTCAAGAGTATTTGCTGTTTTTTTTCTTCTTAAAATTTTGCCTAATATTATAAAAGAAAATTTTTTGGAGAAAAAGAATTTATAGGAAAGAGTATTTTTTAAGATTTTTAACTTATACTATATACTGTATATATATGTATATATTTAAAAATATTAATAATGATAAAATTAATACAGGTCTAATAATAATAATATGATATTAATTATTGAATATTTAATGTATTGAATATTATTTTTTATAGCTTGAGAAAAAAGAATAAATTTTTGTAAAGTGTATAATGAAAATGAAAATTTTATTTTTATTAAATTAAATTTTTTTTTGATTTGAAACTTAAAAATCATTGTTAATAAAAATTATAAAAATTTTATTATTACCATAATAACAATTTCGAAATATAAATAAATACTTTTTTTTTATTTGTTTATATATATTTAAAAATATAAACAATTAATATTATATAAATATAAAAAATCAGCTTCATGATAAATTAACAATATACAGTATATAACAAAAATGGTCTAAGTAAAATAGGTTTTATAAAATTTTGTATAAATTTCATGAATAAGAATAAAACCATCTTAAAAAAATTTGAATATAATTATATATTGTATGTTGATTGGTACGTTGCAATCAATATTAGTTTTAACGTAAATAATTAATTTAACGTTATGGTATTGTATTTAAATACTGTATGTATAGCATGCATATTAAAATCCAAGATATTAAATTTTACACAAAAAATTCAAATCTTGTATAAATTTTAAAAAATTTTAAACGAATAATAAATTTATTAATTAAACATATCAATTAAAAATATTTATTAAATATTGTGTTAAATTATGTAGTTAAAAAAAAAACATTATCACTAAGTATTTATGATCGTGGTGATTGAGAATGGTTCTTGTGAGTTTGTTAAGAATTTATCGAATTATGATTTTTGATAATTTTTTTTAAATGGGATTTACAAAGTAATTTAATTTATACGGATATACGATATACTGTATATATTTATTTGATAAAAAAAGTAGGAATATAATCATTTTATGAAGTTACACCCTTGGATCCTAATTACATGCATACTAATATTAATCACTACAGTTGTACTATAGTTACAATGTTTATATGTGATCGTATATAGACATTTACGTATTACGTACAGTACAGTACATTGATGGTCACGGGTCCTGCGTCACAGATCATACCTGTTTTACTGTAAAAAGAAAAATGCGGTGTCCAATCGTCTGAAAATTGTCTACTGCATTAAGTCATGAGCGGTACAGGTAATAAACACGAATCGATACCTATCGAGAAACCCTTTATCCCCAAGTATCTGCAAAATAGTCCTTTGGATATTTATAACAGAACGGCTGAAAACCCCATATTATTACCTAGCAGATGGAATTTTGCGGATCGTTGGAAATGTGTAAGTGTGGAAGGAAATCAATTAGGGATTGGGTATATAGGTAATTGTTGAATTATGGAAACTGTTTATCGATTAAGAATTTTGCTGAATTTTTTGAAATTCGATAAAAATTAAGGAACCGGAATGGCCGCAGCTATAAGATCCGACCACCCAATCCCTAAAGAAGCCGGAATTTTTTACTACGAAGTTGATGTCATAGATAGTGGTCCTATGAAGTAAGTCTCTGAGATGAATTTTTTAGTAATGGTACCTTTAATAATGTTATAATGAATGTTTATTATAGTTTAATTGGGATTGGAATCGGTAGAAAGGCTAGTTATATAAATAGACAAACAGGTTTCCATTTTACATTCTGATTACTTTGATTTACTTTATATAATACAAATGATAAGATGCACTATATTTCAATCAACCAAAAAGCATTAAGTTCGGTCTCTCATATTTCTTGTTGTAGGCTGGGAGCAATCAACTATCGGGTACCACGGTGATGATGGATTGGTATTTCTTGAGATAGGCATCGGAGGAAATCCATATGGACCTTTGTATTGTTCGGGTGACACCATCGGATGCTGTTTGAATTATTATGATCGAACCGTATCTTATACAAAGAATGGGATTAATTTAGGTTTGCTATTATTGCTGTTATTTCGTAATGGGAAATTTTCTTTTTTTCAATCAGTTTTTAAACACTTTTCAAATCAAATAGGAATCGCCAGTACCAGAATATTTGATGGAGAAATGTATCCCATGGTCGGTATGAGAAACCGTTTTGCGTGTCTTGAAGTTAACTTTGGCGCAAGACCTTTTATGTATAATATAGAATATCACGCAAAGGTAATGTGATGGCTTTATGCCATTAAATATATAAATTATATATTTTATAATCATCTACAAGTCAATAAATCCGATTCGCTTTATTCGTATAAATTTAGACGATTTTTGATAGAGTCAAGGTTCATAGTCGGGATAAAACCGTTTTCGAAGAGGTTTCTTTTGCAATGTCCGAGTTAGGAATATCCAAAAAAACTTAATAAAACATTATGTATTAAACCTTTTAATCATCATAATTAAGATTATCTTATCTTTGCATCGTTCTTCATGTCGTTAAATAACCTCAAAATTTTTTGTTTATAGTAGAAAAAATTCTGTCGTCACCATTATCAAAACACTTGTATTTGATTAACTTGCATTATTAAGTACGTATCATTGTTTTTTTTGATCCGCTCTCATTTATCATGCTAGGGCGTATCAATATTTCCGAAAAAAGAACACTTTACCATAATTCTATAGTAGTACATTTAATAAAAATTCTTGAAATGGCAAAATATAATGTTTATAGATTGTTAATGGTTGTCGAATTTTTTTTCTCGATTATTTGAACTACCATGGTTCGATGTCTGACGCGAACTTTCGTATTAAATACTGTAACTATCGATGGTTAACTTTCAAACTTTTGTATCATGTTCACATGTGCCTACGATTTTGTTCACAAATATGCAGCATATAATGGTACACTTTTTATTCCATCAAATAACAGTAATGTTCTTACTAATATAATTTTAATAGCTTGAAATATGCAAGGAATTGGGATAACCATCTTGCTAAAATTATTTTGCATCCCATCTCATGAACGTGCTAAAATTTAGCATGAATCAAAAAGATATCATCAAATGGTCTTTGATTCATTTAACTTGACATTTGCAGTATTTGTGGAATATAGTAAAGCAATTAATTTTTTTATAAATCAAACATTTTTTTAAGAAAAAAAAGAAAAGAAACATACAAATATATAAATATTAAAACACATGTACGAAATATACATTTATATAAATTACTTTCATAAAAATATTTTTGTTTCTTAAAATCATAAAAATTAAATCTCATGAAAAAGATATACAGTAAATTAAAGGATACACTTAAAACTCATTTATCAACCGTTTTCCTTTTCATCTATAATCAAACCAACCTTGTTTATTTAACTTAATATTTCATACAATACATTAGAGAAAAAAAGTACGCGTCAAAACAGAAACCAATATATATCCATTAACCGTAACCGAGTGTTTTTGAATGCAATTCTTATTAATAAATAATTGCTTACAAATAGAAAAAAAGCACTTATAACCAAGCTATTATTTACTTTTGTTAACTCAATATGAAAACCAATAATATATGCTTTTAGGTATGATCTTTTAATGTAGATGCAATTTTTCTTGTAAATGCTACAAATTTTGAGAATGCAATGATGCATAAACCTAAAAATTAAACAGTAAAAAAACATGAACATGGGGAATAAGCGTTCAAATAATTTTTACGATTCAATTAAGTTAGCAGAAAGTGTTACAAAGTCATCAAAGACGGTCTCGGTATAAAATTAGCAATATTACTACTGTTGATTTTTTTTGTGTTAAATACTCATAATTTTTAGAGCTCATTGAGTATCCGAAAAAATTGAAAATCTATCCCTCAAAAATTCTTTGATCTAGTACCATCCCGAAATTTTCTTCTAACGACCGTTTCATCTGATCATCCAACAATTCTTCAAACCCTCGCGTGCCGCTTCCATCTCCATTCCTTAACCAACTTCTAATTCTCTCTTTCACACTGGTTAAATAAAACCCCAAAGATATAATGAACAGTGTCCCATGAAACAGTAAGTAATTGAATCTACTCTTTAAAACGAAGCCAAGTTGTCCAAGAAGTAAAGTCAAGTTCTCAAGTGGCATTATACGCATCAAAGAATTTTGGCTGCTGCTAGGCATATTATAATGCACGCCTATTTCATTAGAATGATGGTTGGTATTTCGTCTTTCTTCAAGGATTTTAGCGTTTCCTCCCCAATTAGACCAATCAGATCCTAGACCTGAAACAGCCCATGAGCCCATAATATTTATTCTATTCACTGGACTTCCTAATTCTCGATTTAGAGATCTCACTATGTTCATATTTCTACCGATAAATATCAATTCTC